AGGTCGGCAAGGTGGATCAATTGGCTGCAGAAGTCCCGCTGGCCTTGTCGGCGGTGTCTTGCGTCGCTGACAGTCCCGGCATGTCCTCACATAACGAGTGACGTCGGTGGTAAGACGTGGCCAGTAGTACCTTTCTTGTATCCTCGCGAGCGTGCGGGAAACACCGAGGTGCCCTGCCGTCGGATCGTCGTGCAGGGCCTGCAGGAGTTCTGGTCGCAGAGCTGAAGGCACCACAAGGAGGTACTTAGCTCGAAGCGGTGAAAAGTTTTTCTTTTGTAGAAGACCGTTTCGTAGAAAGAACGACGCAAGTGCGCGCTTGAATACCTTCGGGACTTCGGCGGTCCTGCCTTCGAGGTATTCTATTAGGGCTTTAAGTTCCGGGTCGGCCCGCTGTCGTTCAGCGAAGTCGTCGGTAGTTATCGTTCCCAAGAAGTAGTCGTCATCCGAGTCGTCGGGTAGCTGTTGGTCGACAGGCGCACGAGAGAGACAGTCAGCGTCGGAGTGTTTTTTGCCGGACTTGTAAATGACAGTAATGTCATATTCTTGAAGTCTCAGGCTCCATCGTGCGAGGCGACCTGAAGGGTCCTTCAAGGTGGCTAGCCAACACAAGGCGTGGTGGTCGCTCACAACTTTGAAGGGCCTGCCGTAGAGGTAGGGGCGAAATTTCGACGTAGCCCAGATGATGGCGAGGCACTCCTTTTCTGTTGTGGAATAATTTGCTTCTGCTTTGGATAGCGATCGGCTGGCGTAACTAATAACCCTTTCAAGTCCGTCAGCCTTCTGCACAAGAACGGCACCAAGACCTACGCTGCTTGCGTCAGTATGTATTTCTGTCTCGGCGAATTCGTCGAAGTGGGCAAGTAATGGAGGCGTCTGGAGGCGATGTTTAAGCTCCTGGAAAGCGTGTTCCTGTGGCGTTTCCCACTTGAACTCCGAGTCGGCCTTGGTAAGGTTAGTGAGAGGATCGGCGATGCGGGCGAAGTTTTTCACGAACCACCTATAATAGGCGCACAGGCCCAGAAATCGGCGCACGGCCTTCTTGTCAGCGGGCGGCGGGAAATCGGCGATGGCGGCTGTTTTCCGTGGATCGGGACGAACTCCAGACTTGCTGATAACGTGCCCCAGAAACAAGACCTCCTCATACGCAAATCTGCACTTTTCTGGCTTCAGTGTGAGTCCGGACGTCTTGATGGCTTGAAGTACAGCTTCAAGGCGCCGAAGATGCTCGTCGAAACTCGAGGAAAACACGACGACGTCGTCCAAGTACACAAGGCAAGTCTGCCACTTCAATCCTGCCAGTACTGTATCCATAACGCGTTGAAAAGTTGCAGGCGCTGAGCAAAGGCCGAAGGGCATCACCTTAAACTCGAAGAGGCCGTCCGGTGTTATAAACGCCGTCTTCTCTCGGTCTCGTTCGTCGACTTCGATTTGCCAATAGCCAGTCTTGAGGTCCATTGACGAGAAGTACTTGGCGTTGTGGAGCCGATCAAGGGCGTCGTCTATTCGTGGGAGAGGATATACGTCCTTTCTTGTGATTTTGTTCAGGCGGCGATAATCGACGCAGAAACGTAGGGTCCCATCCTTTTTCTTCACTAACACCACGGGGGATGCCCACGGACTCTTGGACGGCTGGATAATGTCATCTCGCAGCATTTCATCAACTTGTCTCTTCATTGCCTCACGTTCTCGCGTCGAAACCCTGTACGGACTCTGACGGAGTGGTCTGGCATTTTCTTCGGTTATGATTCGATGTTTCGTGATTGGGGTCTGCCGAATTTTCGATGATGACGAAAAGCAATCTTCGTATTGCAGGAGCAGGGCCTTGAGCTGTTCTTGCTTATCGTTCGGAAGTCTGGGATTGACGTCGAAAGCTATGGGAGGGGCTTGGTTCCTCTGAGCAGGTTCCGCAGAATCGGCGAGGGCGAAAGCACTGGTGGCTTCGACAATTTCTTCGATGTATGCGACCGTTGTTCCTTTGTTCACATGTTTGTACTCATTGCTGAAATTCGTGAGCATAACCGTTGCTTTGCCTCCCCGCAGCTCCGCAATTCCTCTTGCGACGCAAATATTTCGGGTGACCAACAGATGCTGACTGCCTTCAACGACGCCTTCCAAGTCAGGTGATTTAGGAGCGCCGACTGAAATAATGACGCTTGAGCGAGGCGGAATGGTGACTTGTTCTTCCAGCACATTCAAGGCATGGTGTCCTGACGGCGTGCGCGGCGGTAGTGCTTCTTCTGTGGATAACGTTATCGACCTTGTTTTTAGGTTGATGACAGCACCATGGAGGCATAAGAAGTCCATGCCAAGGATGACATCTCTCGAGCAACGCTGTAGGACTACGAAGTCTGTAGGATAAATACGGCCGTTAATGGTGACTCTCGCTGTGCAGATTCCTGCGGGCGTTACGAGATGACCTCCGGCTGTGCGGATTTCAGGGCCTTTCCAAGCTGTCCTAACTTTCTTTAACTTCGCGGCGAACGACCCACTGATGACAGAATAGTCGGCTCCAGTATCGACGAGAGCAGTCACACTGTGGCCGTCGATAAGAACGTCGAGGTCGCTAGTTCGCCGTCTCGCATTACAGTTAGGGCGTGGCGTCGGGTCACGGCTGCGTCGGCTTGTTCCGCTGCTCTCATGTTGCGTCGTCCGGCCACCTTCGGTAAGTGAGCTTTTGCCTTCAGGGCTTTTCCTGGTTGGGATTGTGTTCAAAAAGCTCCGTCGCGTCGGCGTCGTCGTCGGAGGATCTTCGGTAGTCCGTCGCACAGCAACCGCACCTCCATCGGTTGCTGCCCTTAGTTTCCCGGATACGGGCTAGGAGACCGGCCCCGCGTTGGGCCAGAGTACTGCCGGGGGTGTGGTGACATGCGGCGGCTGGTCGACGGCGAACGGGAAGGACTTCGTGGTGTCCATTGAGTTCCTGCCAGGTAGTCGGCGATGTCACGTGGCCGATCTCCTGGCTGCGGACGCGGTGCATTGACGGCGAAGCCACGCAGTCCCATCTGTCGGTACTGGCAACGGCGGTATGTGTGCCCGGCCTCGCCGCAGTGGTAGCAGAGCGGGCGGTTGTCAGGTGCACGCCAAACGTCCGTTTTTCTAGGTGCACTGCGCTGGCCCGCTGGGGAACGGTAGGACGTCGGTTGGGGTGGTGGCGGCGGTGGCGTCTGGCGACGGAAGTGTGACGGGGCGGCGTTTTGGCGTGGACGGGGAGGAGCGCTGTGGCGCACTGCAGCGGCGTAGCTCATAGTTTCTGGCTCGGGCGGCGGTGTTTCGGGAATTCGAAGCGATTGCCGGACTTCTTCTCGCACAATGTCGGCGATTGAATCCACTTGAGGCTGCGCCGAAGGCAACAGTTTGCGCAGCTCTTCCCGCACGATCGCTCGGATCGTTTCACGCAGGTCGTCGGAGTCACTGGCTTGAGCAGCAGCGCATTCTCGAGTCAGGCGACGATTATACTGTCTGGTGCGCATGTCCAGCGTTTTTTCGATGGTGGTCGCCTCGGATAGAAATTCTTGGACGGTGTTCGGTGGGTTCCTCATCAGTCCCGCGAAGAGCTCCTGTTTGACCCCTCGCATGAGGAAACGAACTTTCTTTTCCTCAGGCATGTCTGGGTCAGCGTGACGGAATAGGCGGGTCATCTCCTCTGTGAAAATTCCAACCCTTTCGTTTGGTAGCTGAACCCGGGTCTCGAGTAGAGCAGCGGCCCTCTCTTTGCGAGCGACGCTTGCGAACGTTTGAAGAAATGCGCCGCAGAAGACATCCCACGTTCGGAGCGTGGACTCCCGATTCTCTATCCAGGTCCTTGCGGTGTCTTCCAGGTAGAAGTACACACGACGGAGCTTTTCTTCGTTGTCCCAGTGGTTGAGGGCGGCCACACGGTCGTATGTTTCTAGCCAGGTTTCCGGGTCTTCAAACGATGAGCCATGGAACGTTGGTGGTTCCCTGGGTTGATGAATGACGATCGCGGGCTGGGACGCTTCGGTTGTCATTGTCGCTGCAGTCGAGGTCATGGTCTTGGTCTTCCGCGCCTTGTCTTGTAGCAGGCCGTACTCCGGTGGGAGACCTTGCTGTCGGCGGCTCGTACGCTGCTCTTGGTTGGCGTCGGTGTCTTCTCCGCGAAGGGGGCTGGGTTCACAGCTTGACGGGGGCGTCCGGTACATGAACGAAGCAGCACCTCCACCAGATGTCACGGGGTCGTGACGTGGCCAAAGACAGGAGACTTCGTGTTGGGATTTAACTGTTTATTTGGGCGAACCTGTGCCCGGTAAAGGGAAAGTCTAATTACAGCAGCAGTCTTGCACAGATAGCAGTCTCGGACTGATAGCGGCGAACGCAGCGTCGGCCTTCGATCAACAACTGACAAGCGGCGAAGCGCGTCGGCATTTATACTCTTGCCGTCGAATGTTCTAGCGTTATCGCTGGCGGTGGCGTAGGTTCCAGAACAATCTGTACCGTTCGCACAGTGGGCGTGATCTTATCGAAATGATCTACCACAGTCCGGAACCCTCTAGAAACCTGCAGGCGCGGCTTGCGCCGAGAATCGTGCGGTGCTTCGGAACGATAACAAAAACTTGTGAAATGGAACGTGGCAATATTCTTAGCACAATCGTATGTATTCTGAAGTTACTTCACAAAATTTTGCAATCGTAACACAATAGAAAGACGTGCAGAGTTCAACGTTCCTTTAGTAGAGCATGAGGGCAGCTTCATCAAGTATGGCGTGATGTATGGGCCTCTATATTTGTACGCCGGGTTTGCAGCTGCAAGAACGTTCCACTTTTCAACGTCAGTCAATCTCTAATTGGTCAGTCATTTTGATGAAGCAGACTGACGTTGATTGAGTTTTATTGCACCTTAAAAATAAGTGCAGTGCAATTCAGTCTCATAACACTTGTACTGGAAGAAAAAAAGGTGTACAAAATAAACGATCAGGTTATTGTTTGCACTCGAGAAGGATAAAGCAAATTTTCGCTAATGGCAGCTACAGCCATCTGTATCCGTGGCAGGGTGGGTACATCAACCTATATATTGGGATAGAAACATGCTCTGTTGACCAATTGAGGGGGAAGTTGACTGCAAACCGGTTGGTAAGTCACCCGTCAACATATCAAGTTGCTCGCGGTATTCATGATCTCCTCTGAAAGTGGGTTTCAAACTTCTCCGTTTATTCACGAGAAAGTTTGTCTAAAAGCTTATTTTCTTAAAAAAATGTGGTCTTTACGGCAAGTGTCATACCAATGTGTGAATTCTTAAATCATGCCACACCGGGGACAGTGGACGTCTTATGCACAGTGCTGTTTGTAGAACATGGCAGTAAGCAGGGTGGATATAATCATCTACTGTTTTGGTTTTTAGCCTGATATCGCGCAGTGCAGATTCTATAACGCCGTTTTAGGGGCGAAGCTTTAGATGGTGGAGCCTTGTCCCGCCGCCGGCGTAACATAGGGCTCGAGGTACGCACTACAGGCGGGCGGCCCGTGCTATGCTCAAGGCAAGCGATCTCTGTTTTAGACTGCGGACACGGTGAAATGTTCAAACCCAGTGCCTTCTCTGGAGACTGCTATGGGCGTTGCGGTGTCGATCCCTGGGGGCGGGGATCTCTCTCTCTCTCTTTCTCTCTTTCTCTCTCTCTCCGACAACGAAGACAATAAAGACACTGCGGCGACACTGCGACAGAGTGCTGGGAACACGGCAGAGTGTTGGAAGCGGCTCTAAAACACCAAAAGCATCACATACGCCAAAGGGTACCCAACAAAACCTTATCACTTGCCCACTTTGGACTACGTAGAGGGAACGTTAAGGAACGTTTGAAATGTGTCCTCTACGTGGTTTAAAGCGAGTATGTGATGACCGCGTTTCGGCCACTAATCATGAATCACTTCATTGATATCGCCGAACTTGTTACTTTGTACTGGGACGGTATTCCGCAGCCAATACCATTACGGGGATCAAAATAAGGGTGGTTTATGGAGCCGTAGCTGTTTCCTGCGGCCACCGTAGTGCCTGCAACCGCTATTGCGTGAAATAACAAAGAAAATCTACATAAAGAACTGGCCCCGTAGCTGCATGTTACACTGCAAATGTCGTCGAAAGACGATAGTCTTGCGTCTGAAGAGAGTGAACAAAACGTTTATCTGATGTTCTGTGCAAGAAAACTGGTGAATAGTATATTGTAGACACTGCGTTAGAGTGCCTGAAGCGTGCAGCGGAGCAAACTAGCGCAACAAGTCAAGCCACACGTGAGAGATGAGCGCTATCTGGCAGTTACCTTGGAAAACGAAGCACGCGCCCTGCGCGCGCGTCTCAGAGGCGATAAGGTGTAGAACACAAGGCGACGGGTAGGCGCCACCACTGTGTCGTTTTAGCTTGGAAGCACTTCCCCTTTTTGGCAAGCGTGGCCTCGTCAGAGCAACGTGATAAATGCTACGGTTCTTACAATTACTGATATGCTTTTTCTATGAAGAGACGTGTTTTAGTTATAATATTGACGTGTTGTTTTGATGCCTTAGGTATGCGCAATAATTGCTTTTTAATTGATAATCGCACAAGCATGAACGCTGTATCTTGAGCAATATTGGTGGGCGCTACGGATGGGGTCAGCCGTTTGGAGTATCGTTTGGTCACTTTGATGCCGTTTGAGGTACCATTAAGGGCGGACAAGCAGACTAAAGTACAGACAGACAAACCAAAATTTTTGCGTCGAAGGTCTCCAAGAAAGACTATTGTCTTTAAAATTACAAGAAAATTTCTGTTATTTTGATGTTCTATGAGTGTATGTCAGTGCTGCTCCCGAATTTAGTCATGCTGATATAATTCGCTCAAACAAAAAGTTTTATTTCAGTTTTTTTCTTCCAGGAGGGCTGCATGACGCTGATGACATGGTGGTCGCTTCAAATAAGGCTTGTCTGAGGCTCCCAATAGGGCTTGTCTGAGGCTTGTATGAGGCTCCGAATCGGAGCCTCATACACGTGTTCGTAAGTAACGAAGTACCCAGCTAATTTCCTTTATATGCATGTCGCATGCCTAATTACTTCACTCGTGCATGTCCTGAAGTGACGGTAGCGGCAGCCCGACGGGCAGATGCCTCAAAGCTCACATAACTTCCCAAGTTGAATGAATATGGCGCTATATTTGACAACGACAAATAAAATTACACTAACTCCCACTGAAGGGAACCATGTGTGGACGCAAAACAGCAGAGAGGTAGTGGACGGCACCCACAGAAGCTCGTCTACGCCGCCTTAAGCAGGTGGAACCACATTTAAAACCTATACCTCACTAACGCTGCCGGTGACAGCTGCCTTGAACGCTCGCAGGGATTAGGAATATAGCACTGCTAAAGAGCCGGTTCCTCAATGCATGCGCCAGAGACATCAAGGTTGATTCCGTACTAACCAAAGACGCACTGTCTCGCGGAAAAGTGGAGCGCTCCAAGACCAACGATCAACGAATACGAAGTGAGCGTGTGAACTGCGGAAGCATCTACATGCCTTCGCCGCCGTCTCGGGAGAGAGAGCAGGGTAGCGTAGGAGAGGAGAGAGAGGGGAGGGGAATGGAGATGCCTTGTAGGGTGGCGTCACCGAACTACTTGAGGAAGCGTTTGGTTGCCTCCACCGCTAACTCGGAAAAGAGAAAAGAGCGTAGGAGAGGAGAGAGAGGGCGTGCGCATGCGCAGTGGGGGAGCGGACGTGTGAGGGAACGGCCGACACAGTTACCAGCTAAAGCTGTTTCGCATTTATAACAGAAGTACACGACAGGACAGACGCTCACGTATTTCTCATCTTGTCCTCTCCGAACGTAGCGCTACAATTTGTCAAGTTAAAATGCATCACATAGCTACTAGCCCCGCAACGTGTTTCGTCACACGCTCTTTATAAGACACGAGCTGTTGCGCCCACCATGCGTAATATTTCAATTGATTTGACCTCAGCTCCGTTTGCAGAAAGACCATTGTCAGAAAACCTTCGTTGACAGCGGACATGATTTGAGCGAAAAATCGTCGTTGCCTCCATGCGAAAAATCTCACTAAACAGTGCCGGTATGACGTTTACAAATCTCGCAACACATTCTCATTTACTGTACTCCTGCCCCAATTTCACGTAAGTAAGAGATCTGGAATGTAGATATCTCTTACAAAATTTCACCCGTAACGCTATCTGGGATTAAATATATAGGTGCGCTCTCCCAAAACGCTTGGCTAACTTCAACGAACTATTCGCGCGGACCAGTAGGGTTGCACTTACCAATTGAAAGCACTGATACGACAGGTACAAAATGGGCAGTACACGTGGGCTTCCTAATGAATTAAGTCATTATCGCACTGTTATATATCTCCTGCAGTCACGCATTATGATGCATTGTCTGGAGATACGTCCAATTCGCATGACATAATGAAGCACTCATTGTTGCAATCAAAGAAAGAAAAATACGGACTGAGTTGCTCTTTCCTTGTGAGTTTCAGTAATTAAAACATTTAGCGTGTACCTAACTGTATAATTATTCCCTAACAAGTAACATTTTGCGCTTGCGTAAAAATAATGACATATTACGCCCAAAGTGCATGCACATATTTCGTATTTGTCTTGACAAAAAAAACTATTGACTAGACTGCGTACTAGAATGCGTCGTGTTAAACAATCGTCAAGCATAGTAGTCCACTCCTCTAAATGATCCTCTGCAGCAATACCCCACATATTTAGGTTAAATGATGGCTCAGGAGTCCAGCACTAATCTCCGCATTGTTTCAATTCATTTGATTGAAGACGTGGTGCTGGAAGCGCCATTCAAGTTGTGCACATTTGTACACACTGTGACTGAAATTGACGTACTATTACCAGATGCTCGCGTATTATCTGCGCATGCGCACCATTAATAAAACAACAGCTTAGTCGCCAGTCGGCAACAGGCTAGAAAACAAAGCGACACGTGTTGGCATCACGAACCACATTGTTTGGTTTAAGGCATGCAAGACCCTACATGATATATTGCATCAATTTGTCCTATGGGCATGCTTACAATCTTCTCATCGCGGTGTTGTAGTGGCTAAGGTACTCGGCTGTTGACCCGCAGGTCACGGGATCAAATACCGGCTGCGGCGGCTGCATATTCGGTGGAAGTGAAAATGCTGTAGATCCATGAGCTCAGATTTGGGTGCAATATAAACAACCCCAGGTGGTCCGAATTTCGGGAGCCCTCTACTACGCCGTCTCTCAAATTCATACGTGGTACTGGTGTCTTCAATTTTGGTGTGTTCAATTTAATATTAAATTCATCAAGTCGGATTTCTTAGGCAGGCTTGCTAACTCTTCTGCTCTCTTAGCGCTCACAGGGGAAGATTTTATCGTTTAAACAAAACAATACTCTGTGTACAATGTGCATTCTTCTAAGGCGATTAGAAGGGAAAACGCCTAATTTTAACAGCTGAAATATTAATCCTCCTCTACCCACCCAGTGAAATTTTCTGCCCCATATGTGGTGCAAATCTACAAAGCAAACTACAGTCACCCTGTAGTACATGGGCCTTTATGGCCATTATGGTATTCTTATAGTCTGAAGAAATTCCTGTCCCACCTATCCACTAGTTGAAATACGTGTGCCCTTCATATTTAGTGAACTGGTGGTGAATAGCGGAATTCACCCAGTGCTGTTGACGTACGCTTGTTTATGATATTCACAAGATTGCCATTACTACAAAATACTCGACCTAGCCAGGTTCGCTGATAATATGCTATCGGCGCTGGGAGATAGCATATTGAGCTCATTCTTTTTCAGGAAGATCGATGTGTAATCTTGCTAATGATGTGCTTAAATATTTCAGGTCATGGTTCTGGTTGTCCTGACTTTACCGCTTGCGCTAACAGCTGCAAGCAAGAAGGAAAACAAGGAGGAACGTGTCTTCCTTCTTATATGTTCTCCTGCGTTTGTTTGGAGGTGGTGTGCATGCTTTACCAACAAGACAATAAAGATATTGATACGAAACAGCCGCCAAACTAGGCTGCATGAAAGAGGAAGACAAAGTCAGTTGTCATTGGATGCTGGTCTGGCGCCATCTTGCTCGTCGAGTTCTGTGCGCTGTAAATAGATCATTAAACAAGTTACTCGTAACATTATTGGTGGAGGTGGACGACCCCCGTACCTCGATGCAGACGCGCAGCGGTCGCACCATCGGTGACCTTTCGACTGCTTCGACTGCTGATACTTTTTCTACACCGCCCTCATCAGTCCAAGCCACCACCTACGTAACACTCCCGCACCTCCGGGATCCCGGCACTTTCTCCGGTGATGGTACGATCGATCTCGACACTTGGCTGAAGCGGTCCGAGCGCGTCAGTGCTACTCGCCGCTGGGATACCACGCTCATGCTCGCCAACGTGCTTTTCTACCTGGACGGCACTCCCCGAACATGGTTTGAAAGCCAGGAAGCGGACATAACGAGCTGGCATGTCTTCATTATGAGTGCTAACCTTCGCCGCCGACTTAGAAAAGTTGTCACGCCCGCCCTCAACCGAGCTGTACGAGTCGCCGATGGAGGAACGGCCGCAATTCTTGGCATGTGCTTTGCGCGAGTGTCTATTGGGGAGAGAAGCACTGTCGTTCTTTCCGCCGTTATCGAACATTGCCCTCATGAACTCATTCTCGGTATGGATTTTCTAGCCACGCACTCTGCCCTCATAGACTGTTCAGCTGGCTCTCTCCATCTCGATTTACCCCTCTTTTCCGACCCACCTAGCCCACCGCAAACCAGCCTCTGCTGCAATGATTTCACGCGCCTCCCTCCTAACTCTGTCACACTTGTCGACTTATCCTACACGCCGCCAGTACCTGATGGTGATTACATGGTGGCCCCAATTCCCACAGTGATGCTTACGCATGGAGTTGCTGTGCCGCATATGATTCTGACGATTAAGAGAAACCGCACCTTCCTTCCACTGGTCAACTTTTCACTCACCACCCAAGTTCTGCCACAGGGTATCTCCCTGGCCAAAATTACTGCTCTATAAGATGACCATGTCGAGCCCTTCAGAGTTGACGATTGCTGCAGCTCAGTCAGTGGTTCCACTCCATCACATTCTTGGGGCGCCGACATCGAGCGAATGGTGTCATCGGACCTCACGTCTGACCAAGCTGCAGCGCTTTACCACGTTCTTGAGGGCAATCATAGCACTTTCGACATTGCCAGCAACTCTTTAGGCCAAACGACTATTGTCACTCATCGCATAAATACTGGCCATGCAACCCCCATTCACCGACGCCCCTACCGTGTGTCTGCGTCGGAGCGTGCAATATTACAACATGAAGTCGGCAAAATGCTTGCGAAAAACATTATCGAGCCTTCATGCAGCCCCTGGGCTTCTCCAGTCGTCCTTGTTAAAAAGAAAGATGGAACATGGCGCTTTTGTGTCGATTACCGTCACCTTAACAAAATTACCAAAAAATACGTCTATCCTTTACCTCGCATCGACGACGCCCTCGAATGCCTGCACGGTGCCACTTATTTTTCAACTATTGACCTTCGGTCAGGTGAGTGGCAGATAGCCGTCGACGAGATGGACCGCGAGAAGACCGTATTCATCACTCCTGATGGTTTTTATCAGTTTAAGGTGATGCCCTTTGGTCTCTGCAATGCACCAGCCACATTTGAAAGAATGATGGACTCATTGCTGCAAGGGTTGAAATGGTCCACCTGCTTGTGTTACCTTGACGATGTTATTGTCTATTCACCCACATTCGATTCACATCTTGATCGTTTGTCAGCTATTCTGGACGTTTTTCGTCGAGCCGGATTCCAGCTTAACGCCTCCAAGTGCCGCTTCGCTCGTCGTCTAATTTCTGTGCTCGGTCACCTTGTCGATGCCCAAGTCGTGCGTCCAGACCCAGAGAAAATTCGCGCAGTCACGAACTTTCCCGGTTCGGAAGACCACAAAGGATGTCCGCAGTTTTGTGGGGTTGTGCTCATACTTCAGACGCTTTGTTAAGGACTTTGCGACCATTGCACGCCCACTCACAGATCTCTTGAAGAAAGACCCTGTTGATGAAGCAACCGATGCCGACGTTATCACGGACGTTTTTTCCGTGTCGCAGCTGTTAAACATTGGCGAAGAGCAACGTCGGGATGCTTCTTTACGAGCCATCATTGACAAACTGGAGTCAACGCCTCGCGACCCGTCCCTACGAATGTTTTTGGGGAAAGACGGAATCCTATATCGCCGTAACCTTGATTCCTTCGGATCAGACTTACTTCCTGTCATCCCAGCGCACCTGCGTTCCACTGTCCTGCATAAACTTCATGACGCTCCCATGACGGGCCATTTAGGCGTTTCTCGCACATACGATTGGGCACGACGTCGGTTTTTTCGGCTTGACTTGCCCGCTCTGTTTGACGCTATGGCACTGCTTGTGAGCCCTGTCAGCGTCGCAAAACGCCGTCTGCCCTCCCAGCCGGCTACCTTCAGCCTATCGACGTTCCCAACGAGCCTTTCTTTCGAGTTGGTCTCAACCTGTTGGGCCCTTTTCCACTCTCCGCAGCCGGAAATAATGGATTGCTGTTGGCACAGACTACGCGACCCGGTATGCAATCACACGAGAACTCCTGACCAGCTGAGCTACCGACGTTGCGGACTTTCTGCTGTACGACATAATATTAGTGCACGGTGCTCCCCGTCAACTTCTCACCGACCGTGGCCGCACGTTCTTATCAACTGTCGTTCATGAAATCCTGAGGTCTTGCCATACCAAGCACAAATTTACTACTTCGTACCATCCCCAGTCAAATGGCCTCACGGAGCGCCTTAACAGGACCCTAACTGATATGCTTGCCAAATACGTTGCGCCAGACCACCACGATTGGGACATTTATTTGCCGTATGTGACGTTCGCCTACAACTCATCTCGTCACAACACTGCCGGATATTCGCCCTTCTATCCACTATATGGCCGGGACACAATTCTACCTTTAGACACGTTACTACCTGCGGCCACTGAATATGCTGGGGAAGCCATTGCCCGCACCGATCACGCACGCCAAGTCGTCCGTAACCGTCTACAGGCTTCACAGGAGCGCCAACAACAGCTCTACAATTCTCACCATAGGGACGTGCACTTTTCTCCGGCTTCTCTCATGCTCCTCTGGTCACCTACTCGGCGTGTGGGACTGTCTGAAAAACTGTTGTCGCCCTACAATGGACCGTTCCGTATCGTTTGCCAAGTGACAGACGTCACGTACGAGATTGTTCCAACCGATCCAACAAAGTCATCGTCAGCTCCGAGCGACACCGTTCACGTGGCTCGGCTAAAGCCCTATTACCCCCTTCGACATCATCTGCGTAAATTTAGCACCGGGACGGTGCTTCTACCGCCGGGGGTTATGATACGAAACAGCCGCCAAACACGGCTGCATGAAAGAGGAGGACGAAGTCAGTTTTCGTTGGATGCTGGTCTGGCGCCATCTTGCTGGTCGAGTTCTGTGCGCTGTAAATAGATCATTAAACAAGTTACTCGTAACATTATGTTAATATTCACAAAATCAAGTCAGCTTCTGTGCGTCAGCGCCTGATGAATGAAGCTCGCATGCCGTTGAAACGTTGAGCGCGTTGTTCGAAGAAATGCTGCGACGATTCGGCCCCAAGTACTGATAATATTGCATACGATTTCTTAAGCTATTTTCACCAATTTTTCGATAGAATATATTTTTTCCGCCAACATACCACTAACTGGAAAGAGGCTTCGAGATTATCCTCAAAACAAGGTAGATCTATGCTCTGTCACACGTTATAGGCGTGTTGTTCTAACAGCTTGTCTGTGTATAACATTCGGAAAAGAGGATGAACTGCCAGCTAATACATCTCATCGAACAAACGACGTGACCGTTTTTGTGAGTATGTCGCGATAGTTGTTCTTCAACATTCCGTCCAATACTCATTCATCCAGGGACTCGCGAATCATTGGCGTATAAGAAGTTTTGTCTCTTGGTATTTATTAACAAGGAAAAGTTCTGTATTACATCGTGAAGCTTTTGGAATATTGATAGACTTCTCGTATTCAGGTGTGCGAGATAGGATATTTAGCCATGCCCATAGTTTCACAACCATTCACAAATATTTTCTTTGTTTGGGCAATGCTTGTTCTCGACTATTTGTTCAGAAAAATTCAGTAAACAGTGTATCGTGCTAGGTTGGGCACATTTTGTAATAAACATTCACTTCCTTGCGGCTGTTCATCCGTATAACGTGTTCTATAACACGTAAGTATATAATCTCTCGAAACGGTGCGAAATTAAAAAAAATGGACTGACGAAAACGACTTGAGACTGCATACACAAAAACAATGCATTTGCGCCTATGCTGAACAAGGTAAGGGCTTCATCCAAGATCACAATATTTTTCGTTTTCAGCGTCTGTCTGCAGAAGTGGAACATGAATTCTCAGGCATAAGCTTGCACGCGTAGCTCAGGTTCATGCCACATATTAGGTATATAAAAAAGCAGTCCTAAAACAACGTGCTGTTGTCATACACTGTTTGTTGTATTGAAAAGTGCCTGATGATCTATTAGTAAAGCCTCATTGGCCTTCACTTGGGTAACAGAATGGTAATCCATTGTTATGCGACAGATGCTTGACCATGTTCACTCCTTATGTATTTGTACTTCTAGGTGTGCTTTCTGCACCAGACCCTAAAATAGCTTCTACGTCGAACTGAACGAGTGGGAGATCGATGCACAGAAATCATACTTGTCCTTCGCACATTTTGGATGGTTATTGCAGACAAGAAACACCTCAAATCCTATATATATAAAGGTTTGTCAAGTTTCAAACACTTCATAAACCAACTTACCTTGATTCACCCTTCCAATCTTCGAGTACAGGGCCTAAGGACGAATCGATTACTTCACAGCAACAGCACATTGATAATGGCTCCCGCTGCGCATCTACCACCATGTCGGTGGCCACTTTTACATTGCGATTATCTTCGTGAAAGTTACGAAGCACGCGCCAGCGTTTTACACCCATACACACTTCCTTGGATTACAGCACAAATATTCATACCCTGAAGTTTTTCATCG